GCCAGTTTGGATTTTTTTTTTTGAGACAACTGGGCCAGTTTGGATGGCGTCCTGGTCCGTTCGCGCTGGCCTGTACCTTGCCTGAAAAACTGCGAACAATGACCACAAAACCTTGATTAGCCCGGCCCAACGACTGATGAAGCGGCCCGAAGCGGAGAGATCTCCTGCCAGTTTTTTTTTAGGAGACGCCTGACCCGAGCCGCTAAAGGACCGGCCCATTCTGGTCATCCTCAGATTGCATGCCATCAAACCCCATCAACCATTTTGGGCATGTTCGGTAGATTGCAGTAATTCCCCTAAAAAAAAGGTGGATTGCAGTAATTGGGCGAGGCTGCATGAGAACAACGAGCCAGACTGATCAGGGACTGGTTAAGGAAAAATGGTGCGCCCCGCAAAAAAAAATGGTGTGAAAAGTTTGATCGCATGCATGATGGTTGGTGGGGTTCGATGGCATGCAGGCTGACATGTTTGGTCGCGGTTGCCTTCCGCATACGCTGTGAAAGGAGGATGCAGCCTTACACGTTTGGTCGCGGTTCCCTCCTGCGTGAGTGGAAACTACCGATGCAATCCGGTCAAGCAAAAGATCCCCTTCATATGCAGTCTACCTACAACCGTGCATGCTACTAGACATGCCATTTGTGTTTCTTCTCTTTGTTATTTCAGTCGGATCCAACTATTGGAATATTTTAAGTGATTAATGTTTTTATAAGAAATAGAAAAATAAATGAATGTTCTTTGTGTATCTAAAAAATGTTCAGTGTTTACTAAAAAAGATTACCATATATAAAAAGATACATCATATATGAAAATGTATTCATCATATATTAAAATTATCCAGTATGTATTTCAAATACTATTCACCGTATATTACAAATATATTGGTCGTATCTTAGAAAAATATTTATAGTACAGAAACCAATAAAAGATGAAAAGGGAAAAGGGAAAAGGGAAAAGGGAAAAAACATAGGAAAAATGAAACCAAGGAAAATAGAAAAAAGGAAAAAAGGAAATAAAACCCAAACCAAAGAATAAAAAAAAGGAAAGAAAACAAAAAAAGAAAGACAATCTACATAATAAAGAAAAGATAAAAGAATTGCAACACCAGTGAACAAATTGGACCGACGCACGTCGCCTCCACTAGTTGGCGTGGGCGCGCGTCAACTAGGGTTTCCCCGAACACCTTGTACTAGACTCCCAACCGAATCTAGTCCCAAATAGCGGACAGCCCCCCCCCCCTACTCTGGTGCTATGATTCGGTCCATTTACCTCATTTTTTTTGTTTCAAACTCCACAAAACAAGGGCTCAACGCGATTCAAACTATGCATCCCACGGTTTTAGTACCAAACTGACAACCAAGTGGGACACCCGACCTCTTGTGCCTAGATTTCATTGCTTGTTCTTCTTGAAATGCAAAACTAATGCAGTGGGACACCAGACCTTTTTGTTGATTTTTTGTATGTGTTTCCACCTGGGTTTTCTATGTTTTTTCTTTCCTTTTTTCTCTTTCCCTGTTTCCTTTTCTTTTTATTTATTATTTTGAAATTAATTTTTAAGGGTTTATGAATATTTTCCTTAAATTCATAACTTTTAAAAATTCGATCCTTTTTAAAATTAGCGATTTTTACAAAATAATTATGAACTATTTTCTTAAATCTGTAAACAATTTTTTCCAAAACTGATGAACTTTTTTAAAAAAACTTTATGAATCTTTCAAAAATTTTGAACCTTTTTTCAAAGGAACAAACTTTATTTTCAAAGATAATGAACATTTTTAAGTTCGTGATTTGTTTTCAAAATTGATGAACTTTATTTTAAAATCCATGAACTTTCTTTCAAATTTTATTATCTTTTTCTGAAAATTTGAAAACAATTAATATTTTTGTGATCCTTTTTTGAAAACCTATGATTCTTTTCAGTTCGAAGTTTTCTTTCATTTTTTCATGAATTTTTTAAATTCCTTTGTTCACAAAAGTGAAATAATTAATGATTTACTGGTCAACGCCGACTTGTCAACGCCGACTTGTCAACACCGAGCGCGAGTGCCAGCAATGGTGTCCAGTAGAGGAGCTAACGCTGAATCAAGTGGCTAGTGTGACGGCCCATTCTTGCGCACATAGTTACAGTTACATGGGTTAGCACTACATTTTTCTTCCAAGATTTTTTAGCCGGTTCTGATTGTTGCTTTTTAAAGTGACCTAAATAAAGGCCTATTTCAAGAAATGCAGATTTTGAAGAGAAATTTTAGTGTGTATTCTTAAAAAGTTGTCTCTATTAGAGAAAAATCACTGCATCTCATAAGATAAATCACCGTAAAAATATATATTCAACGTATATCAAAAAGTTCTCAGTGTGTGTTTGTAAAAATGTGCACTGTATATTAAAAAAGTATTCACCATATATTATAAAAAAATTTATAGTACAAGAACCTATCAAAATGGAAAAGTAAAAAAATAGAAGAAAAACAAACTCAAAATAGAAAATAAATAAAAACCAAATAGAGAACCAGAATAAAAACCACAGAAGAAGTTAAAAACACAGCCCTGACGGATGAAATATAATGACCACACACGAAAACCTGGAAAAAGGGCCGGTCCATGTCGTGTTGCTGTTGGCACCGCGCCCACTAGTTGAAGCCTGCGCCCGTCAACTAGGGTTTTCTTGGGGACCTCCTAGCGGATGCTCGTTGGCGTCCAATAGAGGAGGGGACACATGAATCGAGTCGCTAATGTGCTGGCACATTGTCACATACTCAAGACATAGGTTTATTTTGCATTGTTTTGTCTTAGGTTTTTTAGTTGGTTACAACTGCTGGATTTTTTTAAGTGATCTAATTAAGAAACCCTATTTTCAGAAATAATTCTTTTATTGTACTTTAAAAATGAATTCAATGTATACAAGAAAAAAAACATTCATCGCATATCGGAAAAAGATCACTATATGTCAAAAAATATTCAGCACATACTAAAAATGTAGATTGTGTATTTGTTAAAATGTCCATTCCATACTAAAATGACTCGCTTAGCTGGTGAACGTTCGTCAACTGGGGTGGTATTTGCAAACGATTTCATTGATAGTTTTAGTTGTGTGGGATGACAACTTCTTAAGAGCAATATGATAGTTTTTATCAGAGAAGACAATTTTCGTTAAAAAATGTCATCAATTGATCTCATATCAGAACTAAGGGCATGTTCTTTTAGTGGCTTCTAGAATAAGCTGGAATAGGATGCCCCTACTTAGCTTATTCTAGTAGCCCAGACAATTTTTTTAGAAGCCTAGTAGTTAAGACTTAATTATTAGTAGGCTTCTAAAAAAATGGTTGAGTTTCTAAAAAAAGCTGGATAAGGAACAACTTTATCCTACAAGGCTAGAAAACCCAGCAAAAGAATTGACCCCGAAACTGCCATCACAAGAGATTCGTTTGTCGCCCCTCTACTAGCAAATGTCACTCAGATAAGATTTCTGCACTAAAATAATGTTCAATGTGTATGAAAAATGTTCACAATACATTAATAAATAGGTATAGTAGAAAGATCTATAAAAATGAAAAGAAAAATAGAGGAAAAACACAAATTGGATAATTAATTAAGTGAAAAGTCCCCAAATGAAAAAACCAGGAAAGAAATCTCGAATAGAAAACCAGAGTAAAAACCACAAAAAAAAACACAGAGCCAGTGAACAAAAGAGAGCGGCGGCACACGAAAATCTGTAACTTGGCCAGTCCATGTTGCGTTGACGTGTGTGTTGCGCCCACTAGTTGACACCAAGAGCACTTTTTTTAGAAACACCCGTAAGTTTATTCATACTCATAATAATTACATGTAAATTGATTTGGACCTAAAATTCAAAAAAATACAAAGTACCTTCTATGACTAAGAATTACAATGAAATCTCTTAAAAACACTTTCTTCGCGGTATCAATATCATCTTGAAGAAATATTTCAAATACATCGGTAAAGAGGCTGCAACTGGACTGGAGCAACGATATTGTCACTCTTTCACCCGCACAAACATTACCAATAATTATTTTTGAAAGCATCTTGAGTCGCCCATCCAAAAAGATGAGAAGCCTTGATCGATGAACGTACTTGGGCCGGCGATGATCCCCTAGAAGTGTAGGCCGTCAAATCACTATATCTTTACCATGGTGTCATTAAAAAAATTCACCTCCACAAAAAACAGACAAATAAAAAAACTTGACACAACAACATAAATTCATCAGATCCGGATAATCGGACTGCATGAACAGAAAACACCAGGAGCTCTTATAGTACGCTCGTTGTGTCAAAGTGCGCCCATTTCACATAGGGCGAGCTCTGACCGGGCTGGCCCATTGGCACACAGAGCGTCTTGGCTACTTGATTTTTCACTTTGTAAGAACTTGATTTTTCTTGAAAATGTATAAAAAGAACAATTTTTAGACAATTCATTTTTCTAAAAACAAGAATGTTTTCCAAATGTTCTGAAGATTTTTTGAAATAAAGGGGAAAGAAAAAGAAAAGGATAAATAAAAGAGAAATAAACAAAATAAACTAGTGAAAAAAATACCCTTTTTAGGGCTTAGTGAAGAAATACCTGAAAACCCCCAACCATCCAGGAACTTCTAAAAGGTTTCTAATACTGGGTCACGTAGTACCTTTGCTGGGCCGGGCCATTTATGTTGATCACTTCACCGGTGCGTTTTAGCGACATTTTGTTGCAACAAGTGTCAAATAGGGATTGCGTTTTTTTTTCATTGCATCCGCGGTTGAATCATGTGGATGCCTGAATGGGCTGAGACTGTGATAACTGATAACCGCAACAAATTTGCTACATAGGCCGGAAGAATGGATGGTCGGCCTTTGTTTCTACGTCGGGCCGCAGTGTAGCGAAACAGGGATCCAGTTAGGCCTTCCTCAATTTTTTTTTTAAATTTAGCCCTTCCTCCGCCGGTTGATCGACTCCGATCGTCCCGTCCAAACAGCAGCCGCCGCCCACTCTGCCTAGCCCGGCGGCGGCGGAGATGCGAAGCCTGGCATGGTCAATTATTCGAAGCGTCAGCAAACTACCAGCCGGCTCTGCTCCGCCTCGCCGGTGGCTTCCAGCTCCTGCGCGACGAGATGCTCTTGGCGATCGTCTTTTCCGTGAGAAGCAGAGTAAGCAGGGCTTGCCGCGCCGCTGCTTCTGTTCCGCCATCGCGGATAAAGCGGAGACGAAGAAGGCGGCGGCAGACGAGAGCAACCCCACGGTAGAGACGACAATGGCAACCCAAGATTTACATTGCCACTACCACATGCCAATCTTTCCGGGGAGCAGCCACCGTGACGGTGCGATCTACAAGAAGAGGCTTGAATGGGAGAGCGATTACGGCGTCGATATCACCGACCGCACGGAGACTCTGCTTAAGCCATCGTACGTGGACGACATGACATGCGAGATGCTGCAGATTTTCTCGTTGAAGCTAGCTAAGTCTCCTGTCACTGCCAGTGCCAGCAATGGCTCGATAGAGCTATATGGATTCATGGCGGCACGGGATGAGTATGATTTGAAGCTCAACTATGTTTTCAACCGCGGCAGAGAAGATCCCGTCGTCGTGCAAGAGGGCTCCCTCATCCAGATGACCGGCCCTAGGAGAGGCATTGCGTTTCACTGCGACGTTCTGCTTGAGTTCGACATGAGGATCAAAAACGGAGAGAGAGAGGAAGATGACGCGCAGCTAATCGACGGAATGTCTGAAGTTCGAGGAATGTTCATGCCGTGGGAACCGACCCCGGTTCGCCTCGACGGCGACTGCGGCGCGGTCGAGGTGTCCTCCGCACTCGTTAGCAATGCAGTCGCGGCCATTGTAGAGGTTATCGTCGTATCAGATGTGCGGAGTGGTCTCGATTTATCCCTCAGCTCCGTCATTTGTGCTGTGGAGGCGCATGAGTTTCAGCTTTTTCATGGCTCTGTTGGCGACTGGTGTGGCGAAAGGAGGAGGTTTGCCATTGCTGTCACGGTGGATACCATGATGCATCTGAAGTTCGTGGCTGGTCACAAGGGCTCTAATGGTAATGTTAAACGCAGATGTTCCTTCAGAGCTAAGATAAATGGGCAGGTCAGCCGTCGAATAAAGCTTGAGCTCGCCTCTATCTTGGTGAAGGTGACTTGGGCGGCGTGGCCTTACCATATGTTTTGTTGACCAGATATCGCCTTTGTGCTGGAAACCGAGTATTGTTGAGGCCACTCCCTGTTTCAGTGAGTAGCAGAGACTGTTTTCTGGATGTGTTTCATGCTTACAGTATATTTTAAAGCACCAGACAGAAAAAACATCTATTTTTCCTCAGAAAAAAAGGAATAACAATACTTCTATTGAAGCCACGTCTGGCAACCTTTGTTACTCCAAGCATTTGTGAACTCCCACCACCTAGCCAAGTGTTTTAATTTACACTTTTTTTATGTTTTTTTTTTGCGAATAACACTTTTCTTTATGTTGCTACATACATTGGATGTATCTATTCTCACAAACTTCTAACTCCATATTAGATCATGTATCCCAAGAAATACAAATAAACAAAGCAAGTCAACTAATTTAAAGGGAAACACTAACGCCCACACGTGTGGGCGTTCTCCAACTTGCCCGCACGTCTGGATGGTTGTTGATTGTCTTTCGCACGAATCTTGACACGAAAAAGTGGATTTGGTGTGTCACGTAGGACGGGGCTGATGTGTGGGCGTTGGAGAGTTTGACCACACGCCCCGCATCACGCTGTTGCCAGCTGCGCTGTGTGGGCGAAGTAGTTTCTGCTCACACAGCCACCACCTAGTCCATGCGCGTGTGGACGAATTGATTTTCGCCCACACGACACTCCTACGTTGTGGATGGCAACTGCAGTTACGCGAACGTGGCAACTAGGTAAACAAACATGGCAACTGTGATTCTTTTGCTAGATGACAATTGTAACTGCGCATATGTGGCAACCAGATAAACACACACGGCAACTGCGATTAACTGTACACTGCAACTATGGTTGGACCACACGTGGCAACTAGGTAAACACACATGACAACTACTGTTTGACCATGTGTGGCAAGTAGTTAATCACACACGGCAACTACGGTATGATTACACATGGCAACTACCATAAATTAGACATGGCAACTACAGTTAATCAAAACAAATAGAGTTGCCATGCTTTTGAAACTACATTTTCCATCCCGGATAACTACATCTGCCAACCAGGATGGCAACTAAATCGTCACCCCGCGGGTACCTAACGTAGCTGCGCTAGGACGTGTGGACATTTTTGCTTCGTGCCACACACGCGGGGTGGAGACGAGTAGTACTTGTTGGGCGTGTGGCACGAAGTAGCCGTGCCCACACGTGTGGGCAATTCTAATGTTCGCCCACACACAACCCGTGTGGGCTGCCTCCCGCTCACACCACACACAGTGTGTGGCCAGACCCTTTAACGCCCACACGTGTGGGCATTACTGGCATCCAAATTAAATTGAGTTTTGAATTCAACAAAATGTCACCAAATTTATTGTAACGCCCCGGATTCGATGCGCCAGGTGTCTGCCAGTTATTCGCCGTCATTGCCATGTCATTTACTTGCGTGTTGCATTTTGCCATGTCATCATCTGCATTTCATATGCATGTCTTTCAAAAGTTATATCCGTGCGGGTTCTCCCGGTTCTCCCCATTGTCCGTTCGGAGTCTAGACCTCTCGCGCGCGCCCGTCGCCCCTCTCAGACTTTGTTTCATGAGCGGGTTAAAAACGTTCTCGGAATGGACCGAGGTTTGCCAAGTGGCCTTGGTATAGCACCGGTAGACCGCCCGTCAAATTTCGTTCCATTTGGAGGTCGTTTGATGCCCCAAGGGTTAACCATGTAGCCTGAAACCCCTCTCTCTTTGCAGCCCAGCCCCTCTTCACCGCAGCCCATGAGCCCATCCAAACCCCCTCCATGCTCTCCGCTGTTTGATCACGATCGCGTGGCCAAAAACTGCACCTCATTTGGACTCTCCTACCTCCCAGAATCTATAAATATGTGCCTCCCCCTCTCGCCGCCGGACACGTCTATCCGCGCCGGACATGTCCGCCGGACAAGTCGCTCCGATGAATCAGCCGCCGCCACCTCAGCGCCGCCGCCTCCCTCCACCTACCATACGTCG